GAGTGGCAGGCAGAGCTTCAGTCAGTGGAGACTTGGGCAGAGTTGCACTTGCACTGAGCCATGGTCCCTGAGGGGATGAAGAGCCTTTTCATCCTCCCTCTGGGGTAGGCGGGTGGTGGAGGTGCCCTGGGGTGTCACCAATCACAAGCTCATCTTTCGGGGTGTCATCAACCAGATGTTGGTGTTTGGGTGTGACCAATGGTGTTTTAGGGGTCTTCAGGGTGTGACCAATCGTGGTGCAGTAGTGAGGATGAAGTAATGCAGTAGCCAGTTGGTTGGCTGCCTCTTGTGAGGTAATGTGCCCTAGTCCTTATCAGGCCTCATCACCTGTGTCCGTTTTGACAGAAGGTCTAGACAGTTCCTGGTGCTTAGTGGCCTTAGCTTAAGTAACTCCATTTTAGTTTTGCTTTTTCTCTTTCTTTTTTGGTTAGCAGTGGTCTGCAACTCTTTTGGGACTCCTGTGGGATTCTCCACAAACATTTAACAAATGAGCTAACATTTCATTGTCTTGTTTCAAGTATAGTGTGTCAAAAGTCTAGAATGATTTATAACACTTATTAAATAACTGATACTTAAGATAACTTGCAAGGACTGATCAGAGAATGATCTCACACTGTGAAAGAGTGTTATCACAACATAAATTAAGAAACTGAATATTGCACAATGATTCTAACTCATTCATTCTTCTGGCACTTAGAATTAATTCTTTCTAAGTAGTTAATGTGTATTTCCAAATAAGCTGAATGAGCATGTAATAACAAATGTGGTACGCGCTAGTCTGGGTTCTCCACAGAAATAAAATGAATATGATATATATATTTTCATATCTGTGGTGCATATATATGTATATACAGTATAAATATATATAAATATGTACAAAAATACTATGGATTATATACAGTACATCATGTTATATCTGAAATATATATAAATTCCTTTAGTACAATAAAAATTACATTATAATTTTTACATTATATTACATTTATTTTATAAGACTCCATGAAGTTTATAATATAAATCCTATAATTTCTGTGAAATAAAATTTCATGTAGAAGAGAGAAATTTCTTATAACAAACTGACTCAAGTGGTTAGGGGGTTGAGAAATCTGAAGATCCACAACTGACAAGCTGGTGAATCAGGAGCGATGATGGCCTAGTTTCAGTCTGAGCCTGATGGCCTAGAGCCAAGATGGCCAAGGGTATCAATTCAGTCCCAGTTTCAGTCCAAAATCAAAAGGCAAACTATGTTCCAATTTGAGGACAAATGAACACAGAGAGATGATCAGCTTTTGTATTCTATTTAGGTCTTCAATTGATTGATTGAAGGTCATTCATATTATGGATGATAATCAGCTTTACTCAGTCTACCAATTCAAATGTTAATCTCATCGAAAAGCACCCTTGGACACAGCCAGAATAATGTTTGAACAAATATGTGAATATCCATGGCTCCCTCAAGCTGGCACATAAAGATAAACATCACAGTGTGAAAACATGCTCAGAATAGTTTCATGTCCCTGAGAGAAAATGTTACTATTTCCAAACTTTGTGGAGGAGTGAGTTTCTAAATTTCTTTTTCTTTTTTTTTTTTTTTTTTTAATTATGAGAGCTATCCAAATCACCACATGGACCAGTTAGGGGTGGTTCATGACCTTGGAGTAGGTGAGATTTTCCCACTTAAAGGAAAATCTCATCAATAAACAGCAGTTCCTGAGGAGGGATGCCTGTGCAGCATCAGACGCCATCATTTCCAGCAGCGTGGAGTGAGTGTCTCAGTCCTGGAGGCAGTGATCTGTGTGGCGGCTCCAGCTTCAGTCAACCTATTCATTGCAATAATTGGATCAATTTCCTTTGCATACGAATTTATGTCATATCTTGGCACAACTGTTTCAAAACTTTGATTTATATCTTTTTCTGATGAAGCTTGCAAAAAGAAGTAGGTAGAACAAACTAAATTTCCATAATACAGTTGAAATTAGATATTCATCTGCTGTTCATCAATCGCAGATTCAAAAATGCATTCTGGTTTGCCTTCATGTTCAGCTGGAACTTCTGGATGTCTAGATGGCTTACTTGATGACGTCTCAACCCCACATACTGGAGACAGTGTGAAGCAATGGATACCGTGCACTTCCCATATTCCAGTTACTTCATTTGATCATTTTTCATTAACCTTTAGATAGTGCTAAAAGATTCCCTGTGTTTCTACTTTATTCTTTCTACAGGCCATTTCAATGTTTTGTCAGCCAAGCAGCATTTGAGTAATGTGGTCCTTAAAATGTATTTATTTATTTGAAAGTTGAAGTCACAGAGAGAAAGAGAGAGAGAGAAAGAGGTCTTCCATTTGCTTGTTCACTCCCACAAATGGCTTCAATGGCTGGAACTGGGCCAGGCCAAAGCCAGGAACCTGAACTTCATCCCACATGAGTGTCAGGGGCACAAGCATTTGGGTCATCTTCTGCAGGCCTCACAGGTGCATTAGCAGGGAGCTAGATTGGATGTGCAGCAGCCAGGACTCAAATCAGCATCCATATAGAATGTTGCCATCTCAGGCAGTGGCTTAATACACTGTACCATAATGCCGGCCCCATTTATGCGGCACTTTATAGTGCCAGATAATGAACTATCATAGTCGTGTGACCACTACTACTATTCTTTGCTGTAAAGACCTGAATTTATGCCATGTTATCGTAGGTTCTGTATTTTTGGATCAAACACTTTGTATATCCACAAATAGAGATTAGTAGAAGGCTCTGTTAGTACAACAGGAAAAACCATACTTCACTATGGACACATTTCAGTCAAGAATAACTCCCTTTCCAAAAATTGATGGAAGTCAAAACAATCAAATCTCCACCCATATGTGTTTGATATCCTGGAGGGATGATGTTAGGAAGGACTTGGCATCAGTCTGCCGTTAGAAAAATGGACTTAACAAAAGTGACAGCAAATAGATCAGTAACAAGTGAGTGGGAGGCCATAGCAGTGACTGATGACAGAGCTGACTGAAAGCAGCTAGATGAGTCATTTTTCTAGACTTGAGTACCAAGTTACTTTGATAAAAGACAAAAACACAGAAATGTGCTAAATTTGATTACAAAGACAGAGGGTAAAAGAGGAAATAGATAATGGAGGTTAACCACTTAAGAGCTGTAATTGAGGAGCTGGTGCTGTGGCTTAATAAGCTAAGCCTCCACCTGTGGCACAGGCTTCCCATATGGGCGCTGGTTTGTGTCCCTACTGCTCCTCTTCTGATCCAGCCCTCTACTTACAGCCTGGGAAAGCAGTGGAAGATGGCCCAAGTTCTTGGGCCCCTGCAACAATGTGAGAGACCCAGAAGAAGCTCCTGGATCCTGGCTTCAAGTGGGCCAGGCTCCAGCTGCTAGAGCCATTTAGGGAGTGAGTCAGTGGATGGAAGACCTTTCCCTCTATCTCTCCTTCACTCTGACTGTAACTCTGCCCCTCAAATAAGTAAATGAACTTTTTAAAAAAGAGCTATAGGCAAAACCAACAATAAGACTGTCACATTCTAGAAAGTATGTTGAAACCATGGGGTAAATCCCATCATGGCCCACCATCCAGGTCAGTGCTGCCCATTTATGTATAAGCTTTTTGGACTGTTACCCCAACCAATTTAGAAGAATCAATTACTTCTCCTTATGGACTGCTTTCCTATCCCAAAAGAGCTCAGTTCTTTTAATTATTCTTATTATAGCCAATATATATTAATTGTAAATTAGACACATATTCCTTCCTCCAAATTTATGAAAGACCTTTAGCTTTTTTTTTTTTTTTTTTACAGGCAGAGTGGACAGTGAGAGAGAGAGAAAGGTCTTCCTTTTGCCATTGGTTCACCCTCCAATGGCCGCCACGGCTGGTGCACTGCAGCCGGCGCACCGCACTGATCAGAAGGCAGGAGCCGGGTGCTCCTCCTGGTCTCCCATGAGGTGTGGGGCCCAAGCACTTGGGCCATCCTCCACTGCACTCCCTGGCCACAGCAGAGAGCTGGCCTTGAAGAGGGGCAACCGGGACAGAATCCGGTGCCCCGACCGGGACTAGAACCCGGTGTGCCGGCGCCGCTAGGCAGAGGATTAGCCTATTGAGCCACGGTGCCGGCCCCCTTTAGCTTTAAGGCTAGTGAACATTTTCCATGTAATGCTGGTAGTTGTAAGAACTTACCTCTGGCATTGTTTTCACGGTGTGTGTGTGTGTGTGTGTGTGTGTGCAGGGAGAATGTCTCTAAGAACTCCATAAATACTCATTTCAGAGATTTCCAATATGAAGCATTTAACAACCTCTTGAGGAGGAGGGTACCTGCTGAGTTTTAAGACACTGTACAAAGTTACTTTGACTTCAGGCCCACTTCTCTAAACATTTTGACTCTTCTAATGTTTGGAAATGAGGTATTGATATTTTTACTTCACTTAGAATGAATAATTTTGTTCATGTTACTGTAAGTTTCCAAAAGGTACCCTGACAGAGGTGTCATTTCTAGTAGTTACACTGTTAATACATCAGTTTTGAACACTGAGAGATGTTCTAATGTATAAAGTATCCCTCATATATGAAATTGTGTTCATCATCATCTTTTTTTGTGTTTTTTTAAAAACTTTTATTTAATAAATATAAATTTCCAAAGTACAACCTTTGGATTATAGCGGCTTTTTCTCCCGGTAACCACACTTCCACCCGCCTCCATCCCATCTCCCACTCCCTCTCCCATCCCATTCTTCATCAAGATTCATTTTCAATTATCTTTATATACAGAAGATCAATTTAGTATATACTAAATAAAGGTTTCAAAAGTTTGCACCCACACAGAAACACAAAGTATAAAGTACTGTTTGAGTACCAGTTATACTGTTAATCCACATAGTACAACACATTAAGGACAGAGATCCTACATGGGAACTAAGTACACAGTGACTCCTGTTGTTGATTTAACAATTGACATTCTTGTTTATGATGTCAGTAATCACCCGAGGCTCAAGTCATGAGCTGCCAAGGCTATGGAAGCCTCTTGAGTTTGCCAACTCCGAACTTATTTAGACAAAGCCACAGTCAAAGTGGAAGTTCTCGCCTCCGTTCAGAGAGAGGTACCTCTTTCTTTGATGGCCCATTCCTTTTAGTATGTTTTTGTTCTACTTTCTACCATTGGTTGAACTCTGTAATTAACACACAATTATTCTTAGGTGTTTAAATTTAACTGAAAAGTGATACCTGTTAAATATAAGAGTGAGAAAAAGAGGAGATGTACAGTTTGGCACATGCTCAATTGCACTTGCCCTTAATGGTAGAATTAGAAATGTGCCAGGGGATTCCAATTCAATCCCATCAAGGTGGCATGTACCAATGCCATTTCACTCATCCAAGTGATCAATTTCTGTTCACAATTGATCATAATGTTAGGACTAAGAGCCAAAGGGATCACATAAACAAGACTAGTGTCTGCAAATACTAACCAATAGAATAAAAAATGGAGAGAACGATCCAACTTGGGAAGTGAGATACACAGCAGACTCATAGAATGGCAGATGTCCTAAACAGCACTCTGGCCTCAGAATCAGCCCTTAAGGCATTTGGATCTGGCTAAAAAGCCCATGAAAGTATTGCAGGCATGGAAAGCCAAGACACTGTAGCAAAACAAAACCAAAAATGACCATCATCATCTTTAAGAGTGTGCAAGGATGGGAGCTGGCTATAAGGAGTGGATTACAGCTTGGAGCTAAGAAGATAGAAGGAAAGTTATTGTTTGAGATACTGGAACATATTGCAGGATCCAATTCTTCTAGTTGTATGTGACTTCTATCTTGGTAATTTAGCAAACTGAAGATATGTTTCCCATATGATGAAGTCTTAGTCTTTGAGGTCCTCTTTTCTGCCTTCTACTTGGCGGAAATGAGGTTCATTCATTCTCTCTCTCTCTCTCTTTCACACACACACACACACACACACACACACTGCCACGAAATCCCTCTCTGGCTTTCACACTTAGCCTTTAATTGCTCAGTAATCACTTTTGGTCTTTTATTCTCTGTTATTAAAGCATCTATTGCCCCTAGCAACAACCAACTAATTCTGCAGTCTTTAGAACAACTTTCTCCCTATATTTCTTAGGCCTGATAATTTTTTCCTCCAAGGCACTTTCACTTTCACCAGCGTAGCAATCTAACTATCACCTTTCAAGCTTCTAATAATCATATTGCTATGGTGGCAGGGGATTAGGTGATATTCTAACTCCAAAAAAAAAGCATTTTACTGCATGCTTCCTCAGGCTACTTCTGGCATCAATGGTCACAGATCTGGTTCCCAGGGAAACAGATTGTGAAAGGAAAGGGATCTGTGTTCATGGAGCTTAATGCACAATGCACTCAGAAATATCTATAAGGAAGTGAGGGAAACAGAGTAGTGCAAGTTTGGAGTTGCAGGGCTCCATAATCAAGACAAAGATGGGGTATGACACATAGAGGACTTGGAACTTGAGGATTTCTGCAGATTTGTTGTAATGTAGGCAAATGGAGGAGTCTTTTTGTCCTTGCATAGATTAATTTTGGATATGACTGCCACTTGGGATGTAGTAAATCCTTTACAAAAGCAAATTCTTTGAGGAGAGACTCAGATATGAGCTCTCAGTAGGGAATATTCCTGGAAGCCAAGCCAAGGTATGAACACAATCCCCCTTAAAGGGGATGTGGATAGGATTCTAGAACACCCATACAGAGGTTTAGACTACCATAGTTGATCAACCTCAAACAAGAGATCCAATGCATGTTTTATTTTTGTTTTGTACAAAATGTCCATTTAAAAATGACTGCTAATTTCTGTATAATACACTTTTAAAAACAAACTCTTCGTACAAAAATAATTCTATTTAAAGCTAGTGATATTTTATGAGAATTTGTATCACTTATATGAGATTAGATTTATCCAGAATTTGTTCCTAAACAATGAAGTTGAATTTTCTTTGGTATTTCTTCAATATTTTAAGAAATTTAAATTCTCTGAGATCTTCAACTGGAGAGCTCATTCTTATGCACACTCTTAACCAAGTTTCTTTTAAAAAATTTTTATTTATATAAAGTGAATAAATTTCATGTATTTAATATATACAGATTTAGGAACATAGTGATACTTCTCACCCTACTCTCCCTCCTGCCCTCTCACCCACCCTCCATCTTCCTTTCTTTTAATTTTTCCTTTAATTTTTACAATGACATAATTTCAGCTTATTTTATAATCATAAAGATAACCCTCCACTAAGAGAGAATTCAACAAATGGTGAAGAAAAAAAAAAAAACTAATGTTCTTCAACATTATAAACAAGGGCTATAAACAATAATCAAATCTCAAATGTCAATTTTGCTTATAAACATTACATTATTTGTACTCTGTTAGTTATCACAGATCAAGGAAAACATGTTATTTGTTGTCTTTGGACTGGCTTATCACTATGCATAATGGTTTCCAGTTGCATCCATTTTGTTCTAAAATAGAGGATTTCCTTCTTTTTCATGGTTGAGTAGTATTCCATAGTGTGTATATACTATTTTCTTTATCCAATAATCAGCTGATGGACATTTGGGTTGATTCCACACCTTGGCTATTGTGAATTGAATTGCAATAAACATGGTGGCACAGAAATCTCTTTCATATGCTGATTTAATTTCATTTGGGTACTTCCCAAGTGTGAAATGGCTGAGTCATATGGTAGATCTCTTTTGAGATATCTGAGGAATCTCTACACTGTCTTCCCTAGTGGTTGCACTACTTAACATTCTCACCAACAGTGTATTCAAGTGGCCAACAGATACAAGTTTCCTGTTTTATAAAAATCACGGAACTCGACTGGATGTGAAGATTTATCAGATTCTTTGTTTGCATGAGATTATAAGGCACACAACTGGAATCAGCTAGCACTTGGCATTTTAATATACAAGTATTACAGAATGAATGTGGGGCTAAATAATTTGCCCCCAGGTAATCTAACAGCAATTAACCTTTGTGGAATTTCCCAAATATGTAATTTTACTCATTACTCAACTAGATAGCACATTGAAGATGAACACTTATATACCTGTAAGAGAGAGGCAATCATGGATTACAGTGAAGGGTGGAAAATGTTAACACTTTGGAAATTAATTGTGAATATTAATGAAAATCTTCACCTCATTTATGTTGGATGTTACCACCCCTTGGATATAATGATGATATATCAAAGTGGGAAGAGAAAATTTTCTACAAAATATGCTTTATTTCTGTCACTTGTCTGTTGCATGAACCCACAACTCCAATTTTACTGAATAAAACTTTTTGATGGTTTCTGCATATAATTGCCCAATATATCCCTGAGCAGTTGAATATCTTATTCTATTTGTGTTATCTTAAGTATTTTAATGAGATGATATGGGAAATTACAAATTAGGTATCATAAGGTGCTGGATGCCTCCATATCATAGTAAGATATTAAAATCAAAAGAAGATTATATAAGATGAAATCCATAATAATAACTTGGATATAAGAAATACAAATGCTCAGATAACTTATTTTGAAATATTTCTAGTAAATTGCAGGCTGCAAACTTTTCTCTTGCTAACCACACTTCAGAAGTTTGCTCAGATGTTTAAAGCATTCTTGCAAACCATAGGGAAACTATGTTTTCTTCTAAGCATTTGAAAAGTATTGCTGGATCATCTCAAAAATACAAATATAATATTAACACAAATTTTAAGAAAGACATAAATACTTCAAAAGTAACACAGTTGATATAATTTTGTCTATTATAAAGCTACAGATATTTTATAAAGCCTTCAAATCTCACATTTTAAGGGTGCAAGAATGCAACAAGTTGTTAAGGTTTAATAAGGAGAGTATGAATTAGAAAACCAAAAAAGTACAATGAATGTAGGGAAACTTACCAAAAGGGAACTGCTTAAACATCTCCAAGTAATTTAAAAGTAGGACTGATATTTCCCCTGGTTTGTAGAGGGAATAAACCCTTGTTTGATACCCTATCTGTGAAAGTGACCCGCCTACTGAACTCTGGCCCTCCTTTGTTGATGAGATTGCAAAGTCATGTCAACTTCTATTAGGTAGCACATCATTTTCATTATCAAAATACAACCAAACATTGAATATTTGTAATTTTCAGTCCTATGTTGACAAAAATGTTTTCATTTCTATACAGTATCATTCAAGTAAAGTATAACAAAAAGGTGTTACACTTAAAATTGAAGGGAAATTCAAATGTTGTTTAGTAAACAAAGAATCACAAAAAGGGTACCTTCAAAGTGTGCTCTAATTGCATGGAAATTTCTAAAATGATTACAGAATTTTCTCATTGAAAAACACAAGTATTAGGGTTATGTTTACTAATTCTCCTTAAATCAACTTAAAAAATTAACCTAGAATAAAATTATTCTATTGAACAGCCTTGAAAAACAATCACTGGATCAAGGTATAAGACCTCCCATCTCTGTTAAAATTGATTGTATTTTTAGAGGTTGAATTTCTTTCATCCACTGTTTCACTACTCAAATGACCAAAACAACCAGATATAGGCCATGTGGAAACTAGGAGCCAGGAATTCCATTTTGGTCTCTCACGTGAGTGTCAAGGGCCCAAACACTTGGGCCGTTTTTCTCTTCCTTCCATGTGCATTCATAGGAAGCTGGATTGGAAGTGGTGTAGCCAGGACTCAAACTGGTACTCCAATATGAGATACCAGCATCTGGGCAACAAGCTTAATTCTCTGTATAAGATTTCCAGCCCTTCATGTTATTCTTTGAGACAACACCTGCTGTTCCTGCTAAAAGACCAATAGTGGCCCCGTTAAGTAGTTTATGTTAAAGAGAATTTAGGATGGGCTAAAACAATCTCTGATCATATCTCATTTTATTAGATAAGGGACAATGTATAAAATCCCCATAGTCTTGTGTTTCTGTTTCTGATAAAATAAGATGCTTTCAAATCTAACTAAATACTCCTACTAGACAGAGTGATATTCCAGGCTTCATGATTATTCAACATCCAACTAAGTCTTTGAAGACCTCAAAGAAACATAACTTAGAGCGACTACATTTAATTGACACAAACTCC